TCACACACACTCACACACACACACACACACACACACACACACACACACACACACACACACACACACCATCAGTGGCCCACCATGACCCACTAAAACACAGCCACCTTAGCTTAGATTTGACAAAATGGTCCAGTTTTCATGAACAAGTTCATTATATTGTTTTTTTTTTTTCTGAGGAAAATGAAACTGTCATTAATTGTTTATGATATCAATCATTTGTGGGGCAATCTGTAAATAAATCAGTGCCCCTTGAATGGCCCTTTTTCAGCACCAAAATCAATACACCCACATGTCTTGGTCTACACTCCAGTGCTGGACAAAGGCATGTGAGATACTATGAAGCGGCATTATATATAGTTGCTGTCATGCAGAATCCCCCCACCTTGAAAATGGCAACTTTTCAGGAAATACAGTACATAGTAAAAAAACCCTTGTAGTTTGAGTTTCCAAACACAATTTTGTACTATTTGGAGCTTGCTGCCCACCGTTGCTGCCCACAATCGTTAAATTTGGCGTAGAAAAAAAAGTAGTGTGTTTCCGGTAACCCGACTGACCGAGAATTTCTACGTCGAAAAAAAACTTTACGGTTGGCATTTTTTTCAAACAACCCTCTACATTTTTGTGTAGAGGGTTTACATCGGTGCAAACTCTCGCGATACTCACGTTGAGCGCATGCGTCGTTTGCCCTGTCGTCTGTCAACAACATTGAAACGTGGCGGCGGCCGCGAACTCCGACAACAGTTTTCTGTGTTACAGTCGCGTGCTCGCACCGTAATGTTAAGAAAATAGCATCCATTGATGTATTGAAAAAATAAAGTGAACTATTTGATGAATACCACGGGCCGAGTAAAAACCGAGGACGGAGGAGGACGGAGGAGGACGGCGGAGGCGGCGGCGCGCCCCGGCCCCCGAGTCCGGAGTGGGGAGAAAACTAAATAGACGGCGGCAGCGCTGGCCGCGGAGCGGTGGGTTCAATGTCTTCTTGTTTCATGTTTTATAGTTATTTTGTTTAAATTTTTGATGGGGGGGGGAGATTAAAGAAAAAAAAAACTTTGTCCGACCTACCGACCCCATGCTGAAATTTCTTGTTACCGGAAACACACTATCTTTTTTGTTTGGCCTTACTATCCTAAAAATTATATAATTTATTAAGTTGTCATTGATGAAAATTAGCCAGAAGAATGAATGTTAACAGTCCCCTGGGAGTTGTGGTCATTTTACTGTGTGTTGCCAAGAAGCGACCACATTTGACGCCACCAGATGACATTGCGCTTGGTTGACGAGCCCTCAATGTGACTTGCATGTTTCAGCACCCTTAAAAACGGGCTGGACACGCCTATGAAATTAAGCTATATTGACTTGTAAAGTAAATGCATACATGTCTGAATGCTGGCATGCTTCATTGAAATGTATAAATATGAATTCTAAACATGTTTGCTTTTCAATTGAAAGATTTTCATGACGGTATGGCCTTCACAGAGGTATGGATAAAACATGCATACTACATGGCTCTTGTGTGCACCAAAAGTTGCCATTCTTGAATTAGAATAGAATTTGTCTCATCACAAACACACTGGATAAACCAGGTGCAGTGCTTTAAATTTTTTACTTTTAGATTTAGGTGTGAGTGTTTATCTCGCAACTGAAAGGTTGCATGTTCAATCCGCAGTTGCCCTCAGTTCTGTGATAATTTGGATACTGAAATTAGAAAGCGTGTGAGCACTTTGAGCCCTCGAAGGCGTCAGTGAGAGCAGAAGTGCTGTCAATTTATTTAGGGTGAACCATGAACATTTCAAGATGATATTCACGGGAATGCTGACATGTTATTCTTGTTCTTGAGGGAAGGAAGCAGTCGAATTCCTCTGCATTCCAAAAAAAAAAAAAAAACGTTCCTGTCTAACCAAAACAACGTGGGCCAGTCCGTTCAGCTACCAAAACAACGTGGGCCAGTCCGTTCAGCTGAAATCAGGCAGAACCACTGACCCAGATTCTGCTCTGTGGTCTCATACAGCGGTGCTGTCGCGAGGATTACTTTGCCATTTGTGCAGATGTGCTTCGTCAAACGTCATCTTGCTTTAAAGGCCTCTTTGACCTTCTCTTTCTCCCATGTTTGTCTATAGACGTAACGACAAAACCATACATCCAAGTCTGTCTTGAAACAAATGTTGTCTTTATGCTCAGAAGAGTCTATCACAAACTACTCTGCCAGAAAATTACTTGGTGTAGACCTAAAATTGAAGCTCATACACGATCGGTCCTGCTTGCTCTTTACAGCAAAGAACAATAAAGTTTGTGTAAACGTGAGTGCGGTGTCCCATTTCGCTGTGTGCCTTCAAGTAATGAATAACAAGCCTCCGCTTTTAAACTTCACTCTACTAGAGATTTAAAAAGTCTTTCCACCCCTGTTCAAATGCCAGATGTTTTTGTTTTATAAAACAAGCTAAATAATTTCAATACTTTTTACACCATTAATGTGACCTCTCACCTTCACAAGCCAATTGAAAAAAAAAAATCGGAGTAAAAATATCAAGTGAACTCATGCAACCAATTTTTTTTTCACTTCTTTTACTTCCTCTCTCTATTTGAGTTGTACAGTTTATAGGTAATACTAATAGTGGAAAAAACTTTTGTCTTTTGGTCTTAGTCCTTTTTATACCTGCCATTTGGACAGGGGTGTGATCGACTTAATTTCTCCTATATCTAGTTTTAATAGGACTAGTATATTACTGTATATATAAGATGTGATCTCTTAACGTTCTGAATTGATGAATGTAAACCAGGCCCATGGCACATTGAAGGACGGTCTGTTAAATTGACATTCTCTGGGTTGGTCGAAGAACAAGAGATGGGCACAATAAACAAAGAATTGGGTTTAAATAATTTGGTAGATTGTGTTGAATTGATTGTAGATGAATTATGTCATGAAGCAGTTTTCATCAAAAATGGGACATACCTCCAGGGTCGGAGTGGAACTTATTTTCAGCCCTGGATTTTAATAAACATACACACTTGTATAGATACGTTTATCAATATAAAATAGATTTCCCTTCCTTCCAATGATATTCATATTGCATTTGATCAAAATCTAATTTACAAGAATGAGAACATAAATAGTTACTGCCTGAAGACAGTCGGGATGGGCTCCAACATGCCCGCTACCCTCGTGAGCATAAGTGGTTCGGATAATGGATGGATGCAAGATTAAGGCATTAACACTGCACTTCCGATTACTGCTCTTGAGTGGCGGGCCGTGGATTTCAACCTTAGGCCTTCAGTGACGTCACATACATGAACACAATACTGTATAGGAGGCTCGTCAGGCAGCACTTAATTTCAGGAGCATTTAAAACCATCAAGTATGCATTCACAATTAAGAGCAGGAAACTAAATTTACAGATAGTCAAAAATAAAAAGATGATTTAAAAATACGAAATAAAATGCCACCCAAATTACGCTGTGTGATCTTAAACAAGTCTGTCCAATAAATTGCGCAATGTCGCAGTTTCATATAAGACACCAACCAAACAATAACAAAACAAACTATTCTTTGAAAATAAAGTAAACAGATCATTTGCATTTTGAAAATCGGCAATACAACGGAAAATAACTGAAAATGTTGAGCAGCTGAGATTGAACGAACTTTCGTGCACGAAGGTGACTACAATGCGCCATTATAAATTGCAGGTGAGCAGATTTATTTGATACACGTTTGTCATTTTATTTCGTTACCATGAATTTAATACTAACGAAATAAAATGACAAGAAGAAATGTAAAATAAAATTCATTGACTCACCAATGTAGGTCTCCACAGCGTCTGCTTATTTGAAAATAAATAAAATCATCCTTTCTTTTCTCAGGAACACTTCAGTGGCTCTGTTGTACAGTTTTCAGGTCCATTAGCAAGTCCTTTTCTATCAACATGGAAGCTAATGCTGAAAGCCGTTTTTGTCC